GTTAAGAGCCTGGGTCCAGAATGAGAAAGGTGGATATTGAATTTATCTGAGTAAAACTAGGCAGACTCAAGTGAATTGATTGTACCCACTCCTCCACTCAAGTATTGAGTGTGGCTTTGCAAAACGTTCAACGAGTTATCCACATAGTTGTTCTTACTTTCCATGTGACTATAATAAATACATTCTCACCAATGAGCAAGGTGTAATTTTAGTGTTTAAACCATTTTTTCCCAAATAATATTTCCTGGATGCAGTTTATGAGCCTCATTGGGTACCCACACAAAGTAGATATAATTGTCTGTTGGACTTTTTGAAAGACTTGTTTTTCAAAAAGGTACCTTTCTAAAGGATTTTTATGTGTAGTTTTGACTAAACAAGGATTTGCCTTACTTCCTGTTTTTAAAATCTAACCTCAACATTAATAAATAATTATGGTAGTTATAACCATACAAATGATCTCATATCTCTGAGCCTAAGTACCCTTAACTATATGTAAGGATGTGAAGAAGAAAGCGACGTAAATATGCAACATGCACTGATTGCCCTCATAAACAAATGCCTCATGCATATAGAATCTCTGTGTCTGGTTGATTAGTGAAGGAATGCGTACCCACCCAAAAGAAAAACTCTGAAATAAGTACTTTTCAGATATTTATTTTTATAATATTCCATGTAATTATCACATGAAGGCACATTCAACTTAGTCTGTTAACCTGATATACCTCCAGGCAACTTTTAGGATACTGTACAGATACAATGGCTGTGAAGGCTGGGATGAAAAGGCCTGTGTGAAGCAGGACTCAGAGGCACGTAAGAGAGGCCTCAAAGTTACATCTCCCTTACCTGTTTTCCTGCAGGCCATATACCTTAGCCCATCCCTGTCAGTGTGAGTGAGAACAGGCTCTGCCTCTGCCTACCTAAACCACTACCTTCAAAGCCCCACAAAGACCCGGTGTCTCCAGACAGCCTTTCTGTCATCGTTGTCGTCTTCTTCTTCTTCTTGTTTTTTTTTTTTTTTTTTTTTTTTTTGAGACGAAGTCTTGTTCTGTTTCCCAGGCTTGAGTGCACTGGTGGCTACCTGCAACCTCTGCATCACAGGAATTCTTCTGCCTCAGCCACCTGAGCAGCTGGGATTACAGGCACAGGCAACCATACCTGGCTAAGTTTTGTATTTTTAGCAGTGAAGGGGTTTCACCATATTGACCAGGCTGATCTTGAACTCTGACCTCATGATCCACCCGTCTCAGACTCCTAAAGTGCTGCAGTTACCAGAGCTCCACGAACCAGAATGAAAGTTTTAGAACATAATACAAGGATAAGACCCAAGAAGTAAACACCACTAAGATTAACTTTGCTTTAGAGGTTAGAGAAAACATTGCAAGGACTCCACACCACAGACTATGAAAACCCCAAATGTGTCGAAATGATGCTGATGTCATTTATCTCTATATTGCCTGATAATACTCAGGTGTTACCATGGCAGCTTAAGGTGGTATTTGCTGGGAGCCATGATACTCGTTAAGAAGTAGTAGCACTACTAGTAAAAGTAGTTCATTCCAGGCAATATGCTATGCACATAACCCATTCCATCTTCTTATAAACCTTGTGGAGTACATCTTATTTTTCATCCTCATTTTATAGATGCAGAAAGGGACTCATAGAAGTAAATTTCCAAGATTACATAGCTATTTATTGTTGGAGCTGAGATCTGAATTCAGGTTGTCTGTCTTCAGGGACTATACTCTTAATCTCAGCAGCCATCAAACTTTTCTGTAAAAAGCCAGCTAGTAAATACTGTGGGTTTATGTACATTCTCCACTGCATATCCATTGGTTTTTTAAAATAATCCTGTAAAAATTCAAAAATCATTCGTAGCTCATAGACTACACAAAACGGACTGCAAGTCCAATTTGGCATTTACTGTTCATATTGATCAAGGGTTTAAGAATATAGTGGGTACACTACTCCACATTCCCCTTAGGTAAATTCTGCATGTTTATAGAACTATTAGATTTCTGTTGACACAATAATCCACAATTCTGACTTTATCTCTCTCTCCCTCTCTCTGATTTTGTCTGAATTTATGAGGTTTAGTTGCATTTTCAAGTTAGTCTTTCTGCTAACTAGTGATTCTGTTGAACATTTAAGAAGAGACTGTCAGGATTGAATAAGAGAGCCTCTTCCAGTCACCTTTTTTTTTTTTTTTTTTTTAAGACAGGTTCTCACTCTGTTTCCCAGGCCGGTGTGCAGTGGTGCAATCACAGATGACTGCAGCCTCTGCTTCTAGGTTCAAGGGATCCTCCTGTCTCAGTTTCTGAGTAGCAGGGACTGCAGGTGTATACCACCATGCCTAGCTAATTTTTAAATTTTTTTGTAGATATGGGGCCTCACTATATTGCCGAAGCTAGTCTCGAACTCCTGGGCTCCAGCAATGCTCCTGCCTCGGCCTCCCAAAGTGCTGGGAATACAGGTGCGAGTGACTGCATCCAGCCTCTCATTGTCACTTTTAATCTATCATTGGCTTGCTTGTTAGGTTGTATTTTTATACAAGGAAGTGCTATTAGCAGTATGGCATTAGACTAGAGAGGCTGTGTTTTTCTTTGATAAAGGCATAAATAAGATGAACTGGCTCTAATTAGGCTTGTCCCTTTTCTGAGAAGTGACATTTGGGAGGTCACATTTAGTTATGGCAGTTTTGCAAGTATAAATTTACCAGGAACCTGAAATGTAATCCTGTATTATTTTTGGTAAGATTAAAATGGTTTATAAAAGGAGGTGGTTCATGAAATGGATTGATATCAAGATGGAACTTCATGCTTTCTAGGTACCTGCTGTATCCTTGGAGATTTAAAATGTCATCACAGCATTCTAGGCTAGACTGCTAGTGGAGAAATCAGAGTGAGTTATTGGATTTGCTCAAGATAAAATCTTGAACTTGCAAATAAATGCTGGTCAGCTTTTTGAAACACTCTCATGGTAAATAATATACAACTCAGATTCATGTAATGGGCAGAAGAAGATCATTGCTTTCATTAATTCAGTACAAAACTCAAGAGAAAACTTACAGAAGTGTTTATAAAATTATTCTGACCACAAACCAAAGCAAAACATATACCGAACAACATATTATGACATAGTAAATAAAGCTGAGATTCTATATATATGTGTCTACTCAACTATATGAAATAGAAACAACAGTGTCAGCAGCAGTATTACTCTTACTATATTTGAGGCATTTCTGGTATTTTCTATTCTATTTCATTAAATTTTTAGTACCTCTCATTATTGCTAAATTCATAACTCATTAATGGGTTTTGACTCACAGTTCAAAAGCATGGCCTTAGAGGATCCAAATGTTCACACTATCCATATGTATAAGAACTAATTGTTTTGGTGTTCTTGTGTATGCTTTCAGCTTAGTTTGATTTATTTGCTAAGACCTGCCTTGTGAGAGCTGCAAAGAGTTACGTCTTCAACTACTTAAGCCAGGAATTTACTGAGGTGGCAGGGGACCCAGAGTGAGCAAAATGACATATCATCTCCACCCCCATTGAGCTTATGCTGTAGTGGATGAAATAAACTCAGAATTCAAGGAATTTTAGAAGAGAAGTCATTCCCTTGAGTAACTATGTGAAATAAGTAAACAGCTTTAGCAGGACTTTCTTAGTAGAAGGTGTTTTCTTCTGATCTAGAAGAGTCAGTCCAATTTTTTCTGATGAGACTATGGAGGCTCAAAAAATCTGTCATTTATCTCAAGTCTCTTCCTTCCAAGTACAGGATTATTTGTAATATACATGTGGTCTCACATGATTGAGTAGGTTTTGTGCTCAGAAGAAAGTGAATTTGGAGTTCAGAAGAGAAAGTGATTAAATCACATCATTAAAATGTTTGACTCTCAGAAATCTTGAAAAGACTTTGAGAGGCACTCTTGCCAAACATTTTTCTTAAGAAGGAGCTTATCTAATTATTCTGGATAATAGAGACAAACTAGGTCTTTTAAAGAGAAAAATTACACCATTTAGTGTTTCACAATCTTTTCTAACTAAGTTCATAAAATCCCTTATTTGGAATTTAACTCATGTAAAACTCTTAAAATCCCTTATTAGAATTTAACTGATCTAAATCCTCATTTCAAAAACCAGAAAACAGAGTCATTTTTCGGTTACCAAGGAAAGAAACCAAAGATTGTCACCTGCACAGGAGAATCTATAATTTGTTCTTCTCATCACTATGCATTTCATGAGCATTGACTCAAAAACCCATGCTACCTATAAACTAAACTATTGCCTCTTCTGGGGCTGAAGTTTTAAAATTGCAGATATGAAGGATCGACTCTATTTCAAAGCAGTATTCAGTGGACTTCTGCACATATATCCATTCTAATCTGTTACATGTCTGCACTTTGGAGATTAGTTCATGCTACATACTTAGAGATGTAATAGTTTCCTACGTGGGAAAATTAAAATTACTTAGATACAAAAGAGTGGTCATAGTAAGAAAATAGGCAAGGAGAATATTTTAAATTGCTCATCTTCAGTAAAGCCATGCATGTGATGCACAGAGAGCAGATCTTTCTGAAGTCATTCTGTGCTCAGAGATGTTTCCCCTTACCTTGCTCCCTATGTCAAATTCTGTTTGTTTTTACAGCCCCGTGACCTCTCTTCTTAACTTGCAGCGGGAGCTTGAATTTTTCATTTACTTTCTTAACTATTTAGTCCATAAGAGTCTCTCTTTTTACAGGGTCTCACTTGACCACAGACTCCATAAATGCAAAGATTCCATTTTTACTTTTTGATTACTATATTTCCAGCAATAAGCACTATGATTAATACATAACAAGTGTTCAATAGATGTTGACTGTATGAATAGATTGGCATTTTAATATAGTCCGAGATCATATTTTAGACAAGATACTTTAGTAGTCCAATCTTTATTATTTATTAGCTACTAAAGATAAATTGATAATCACTCATGATATTCTTCTTTTTGTTGTTTTACAGTCAACTTTGACCACTTCGAAATTTTGCGAGCCATTGGGAAAGGCAGTTTTGGGAAGGTGAGAACCAACTGAAATGATTACCCACCAGCAGGGTTGTGTAGCCAGGGAACAGAGGACCCAGAAATGTTCACATTATTGAGTTGCTGGGACTACAAGGAAAGATGATTAAGTGAAAATGTTTTTATAATGGATTTTTATAAAATTGTCACTACAGCTTAAGGAAAGCATGTGACAGGCAGCTATATAATGAACACATACTGTTCTCAGAATAATCTCATTAAACTCCAATCTGTTTACTCTCGCTAACCTTTAAGCTTTTCTCTCTACCCTAAAGGATATGAGGATTTCAGAATCATTTTCTGATTATACCCACTGTACACCCAGTAATAGTTGTCTTGTCAATGGAAAAGTTAATTATTTTTACATGGGAAAGAAGCCACCTGATTTCTATTTCAGTTTTCTCATTTGTATAATGTTTTTATCTTAAGAAGTATACATATTCAGTCTGACATTTTTATAAGAACCTTACATATTCAAACCCTGATTACTAGTTTTTCAATGAAGGCATACTTTAAGAGAATAGTATTTTATATTATACTTGCATTTTAAGATCATTTGCTGTTTACTTTATCAGGTATTATATAGACTGCTAAAGAAATTTTTAAAACATGGACATCATATTTAGTGTTTTTCCAGCCCTTAAAGTCCTTTTTGGTTATATCATGTATGGTTGTAAACAGAAATTCTTTGCACAGTATTATTCAACTTGACAGTTTAGTCATGTCTATTTCAGTCACTCAAAGCAGGATTTAGGATGTTACTTGTTATTGGAAGATTCCTGACATGGAGGCAGCTATTTTCACCAAAATGCTGTCTTAAAAACTCAAAAAGCAAAACCAGGCAAAATTGTTTGAGAAAAAAGAGATCCAAGAATTGAACTGGTGCATAGAAAAGAAAATGAAATTTTTAGTCTAAAATCAGAGCTAAGTGGGAACTTTAACATCTTATAATTTACAAATGTTAAAGATCCAAGCCACAGCAAAGAACATGTCTTGTTCTGTCTCTCATCACCATGATCCATCATCTCCCTAAATACTTTCTCACTCTGGTTTTCACCATTAGGTCTGCATTGTGCAGAAGAATGATACCAAGAAGATGTATGCAATGAAGTACATGAATAAACAAAAGTGTGTGGAGCGCAATGAAGTAAGAAATGTCTTCAAGGAACTCCAGATCATGCAGGGTCTGGAGCACCCTTTCCTGGTGAATTTGTGGTAAGTAGTTTTACTGGACCCCCAAACAGAGACACTCCTGATATTGGTGGGCTAGGGGAGGTCCCCAAATGCCTCTGGGAACTCAATGCTGGCTAATATCCAGGTTCTTTGATGCAAGTGCAAGAAAGAGTTCAAGGATGAGTTGGAAAACTGAAAGTACAGAGATTTATTGCAAAGTGAAAAGTACATACTCAAGAGACGGGAGTGTGGGTGGACTCCAGGGAGTGTCATGTAAAGGGGTTTGAGGCTGCTGCCATAATAGGTTTCTTTAACCAAGGGGTGAAACATTCATGAAGATTTCTGAAAAAAGATGGAGATTTCTTGGAACTGTGGTGCCACCTATTTTTACACCAAATATGAATGTTCCTGGAACTGTCATGGTGCTGGTGGGTGTATGATTAAGTATGTTAATGAGTGTATGATGAGGTCCTAGGTGAAACCTGGGTTAAATTTAGCACCATGGAGAGGACTCACAGACTCTCTGAAGGAAGCAGACTGCTCCCCAAAACATACACTCTCACTGGAGAAGCTGAAGGTCTGTTTGCTAGAGATGTTTCTGACTTTACCTGGAGCTAAGTCAGTTTGGAGAGCTCAGTGAAATACAGGGTAAAAGAAGCAGCAGAAAGGCCCTGGGACATCGCTGGGTCCCCAAGCAGGCTGTTCTTCCTGGCACCACAGGGATCCAACAGGAGAAAAACAGTAAAAACTATACAGGGAGAAGCAAATCTCTAGCTAAACTTTGTAAGAATTTGAGCAGGGTGAGAAGTGCCTGGCCAGAAGTTAGGGGAGGGCTCAAATCCAGTGTACAGACTCCACAGGCAGAGGAAGAGCCAAGCCATTTTCTTTACAGCTGGGAGGCAGGTAGCCTGGGGTAGGTTTTCAAGTTGGTATTGTTGTCTTCCAGGAAACAGTCTAGGGGCTGTTGTGGGGGGCATGGTGGGAGTGAGACCAGCCCTTGGTTTTCGTGGGAGCTGGGTGAGGCCTGTAATTGCTGGCTTTCCCTCACTTCCCTGACAATCTGCATAACTCAGCAGAAGCAGCCATAATCCTAGGTACACAACTCTGGTGACCTGAGACTCCCACTCCTATGCCCCACAGCAGCTTCAGCAAGAGCCACCCAAGGGAATCTGAGCACAGAGATGCCTAGCCCTGTCCCTACCTGATGGTTCTTCCCTACGCATCCTAGTATCAGAAGACAAAGGGCACATGATCTTGAGAGTTCTAGGGCCCTGCCCACTGCCAGTTTCTCCCCATAATACCACAGCTGATGCTCTCTGGAAAGTGCCACCTCATGGCAGGAGGACAACCAGAATAAAAATAGAACACTATAAACAACCAAAGCTAAAAACACTTACAAAGTCCATTGTACCTCCCGGCCACCAAGGGGTGAGAAGGAACCAGAAAACCTACCATGGTAATATCAAAAACAAGGCTCTTCAATGTACCCCCAGAATCACACTAGTTCCCCAGCAATGGATCCAAACCAAGAAGAAATCCCTGATTTACCTGAAAAAGAATTCAGGGGGTTAGTTATTAAGCTAATCAGGGAGTGACCAGAAAAAGATGAAGCCCAATGCAAGGAAACCCAAAATATGATACAAGAAGTGAAGGGAGAAATATTCAAGGAAATAGATAGTGTAAAGAAAAAACAATTTAAAAATCCAGAAAACTTTAAACACACTTTTAGAAATGCAAAATGCTCTGGAAAATCTTAGCAATATAATTGAACAAGTAGAAGAAAGAAATTCAGAGCTTGAAGACAAAGTCTTCAAATTAACCCAATTCAATAAAGATAAAGAAAAAATAATAAGAAAACATGAACAAAACCTTCAAGAAGTCTGGGATTGTGTTAAATGACCAACCCTAAGAATAATTGGTGTCCCTGAGGAAGAAGAGATTTCTAAAAGGTTGGAAAACATATTTGAGAGAATAATCAAGGAAAACTTCCCCATCCTTGCTAGAAACCTAGACATTCAAATGCAAGAAGCACAAAGAACACTTGGGATATTCATTGCAAAAAGATCTTTATTTAGGTACATTGCCATCAGATTATCCAAAGTTAGGATAAAGGAAAGTATCTTAAGAGCTGTGAGACAGAAGCACCAGGTAACCTATAAAGGAAAAACCTATCAGATTAGCAGATGTCTCGGCAGAAACTCTACAAGCTAGAAGGGATTTGAGCCCTATCTTCAGTCTCCTCAAATAAAATAATTATCAGCTAAGAATTCTGTATCTAGTGAAACTAAGCGTCATATATGAAGGAAAGATACAGTCATTTTCAGACAAACAAATGCTGAAAGAATTCATCATTACCAAGCCACCATGACAAGAACTGCTAAAAGGGGCTCTAAATCTTTAAACAAATCCTAGAAACATATCAAAACAGAACCTCTTTAAAGCATAGATCACATAGGACCTACAAAATAAAAACACAAGTTAAAAATCAAAAACAAACAAAAAAACACCCTGCAGGACCCAGGAAAGCACCGCCCTCCCACAAACTGTGAGTTCCCCAACTGTGGAAGTGGGAAAGGGAGACCCTCCTCTCCCAAACACAGACTCCCACTGGAGAAGCTGAAGGTCTGTTTGTAAGAGAAGAGCTTCAGTTTCAGCTTCTTTTTCTTCTTTGGAAAAAAAAAAGTACATAGGCTACAAAGAGCATGATTAATTCCATGATACCTCACATTTCAATACTATTATTGAATGTAAATGGCCTAAATGTTCCACTTAAAAGATACAGAACCACAGCATGAATAAGAACTCACCAACCTACTATCTGCTGCCTTCAAGAGACTCACCTAGCACAGTAAGTACTCACATAAACATGAAGTAAAGGGATGAGAAAAGGCATTTCATGCAAATAGACACCAAAAGTGAGCAGGGTTAGCTATTCTTATAACAGAAAAAGTAAACTTTAAAGCAACAGTAGTTAAAAGAGACAAAAAGAGACATTATATAATGGCAAAAAGCCTTGTCCAACAGGAAAATATCACAATCCTAAACATATAGGCACCTGACACTGGAGCTCCCAAATGTATAAAACAATTACTCATAGACCTAAGAAATGAGGTAGTTAGCAACACAGTAATAGTGGGGGACTTCAATACTCCACTGACAGCACTAGACAGGTCATCAAGACAGAAAGTCAACAAAGAAACAGTTGATTTAAACTATACCTTGGAACAAATGGACTTATCAGATATATGCAGAACATTTCATCCAGCAACTGCAGAATACACATTCTATTCAACAGCACATAGAACCTTCTCCGAGATAGACCATATGATAGGCCGTAAAACAAGCCTCAATAAATTTAAGAAAATTGAAATTATATCAAGCTCTGTCTCAGACCACAGTAGAATAAAACTGGAAATCAACTACAAAAGAAACCTTCAAAACCATGCAAATACATGGAAATTAAAGAATCTACTTCTGAATGGCATTGGGTCAAAATGAAATCAAGATGGAAATTAAAAAATTCTTTGAAAGAATGACAGTATGACACAACCAATCAAAACCTCTGGGATACAGCAAGCTTTGATAGGAGCAAAGTTCATAGCTATAAATGCCCACATTGAAAAGATTGAAAGAGCACAAACTGACACTGTAAGGTCACACCTCAGGGAACTAGAGAAAAAAGAACAAACCAAACCCAAACCCAGCAGAAGCAAGGAAATAATAAAGACCAGAGAAGAACAAAATGAAACTGAAATCAAATAAATGCAAAAGTTAAATGAAACAAGAAGCTTTTTTTTTTAAGATAAATAAAATTGATAGATCATTGGCAAGATTAACCAAGAAAAGAAGAGATAAAATTCAAATAACCACACTAACAAATGAAACAGGAGATATTACAACTGACACCACTGAAATACAAAAGATTATTCAAGGCTACTATGAGCAACTTTATGCACATAAACTAAAAAACCTGGAAGAGATGAATAAATATCTGGAAAAATACAACCCTCCTAGCTTAAATCAGGAAGAATTTAGATACCCTGAACCAATAACAAGCACTGAGACTGAAATGGTGATTTAAAAATTACCCACAAAAAAAGCCCTGGACCAAAGGGATTCACAGCAGAATTCTACCAGACATTCAAAGAATTGATACCAATCCTTTGACACTAAGGAAACCTCCCTAATTCATCCTATGAAGCCAGCATCACTCTAATACCAAAACCAGGAGAGAACATAACAAAAAAAGAAAACTACAGACCAATATCCTTGATGAACATAGATGCTAAAATCCTTAACAAAATACTAACTAACTGAATCCAACAACATATCAAAAAGATAATCCACCATGATCAAGTGGATTTCATACCAGGGATGCAGGAATGGCTTAACATACACAAGACAATAAATGTGATACACCACATAAACAGAATTAAAAACAAAACTCTCATGAACATCTTAATTGTTGTAGAAAAAGCATTCAACAAAATTCAGCATTTCTTTTTTTTTTTTTTTTTTCTTGAGATTGAGTTTCGTCCTGTTACCCAGGCTGGAGTGCAATGACATGATCTCCGCTCACTGCAACCTCTGCCTCCTGGGTTCAAGCAATTCTTCTGCCTCAGCCTCCTGAGTAGCTGGGACTACAGGCATGTGCCACCATGCCCAGCTAATGTTTTGTATTTTTAGAAGAGACGGGGTTTCACCATGTTGACCAGGATGGTCTCAATCTCTTGACCTCATGATCCACCCTCCTTGGCCTCCCAAAATGCTGGGATTACAGGCATGAGCCACTGCACCCGGCCTCATTTCTTTACAATTAAAACCCTCAGCAAAATTGACATAAAAGGGGCATACCTTAATGCAGGCGTCCCCAAACATTTTACACAGGGGGCCAGTTCACTGTCCCTCAGACCGTTGGAGGGCCACCACATACTGTGCTCCTCTCACTGACCACCAATGAAAGAGGTGCCCCTTCCTCAAGTGCAGTGGGGGGCTGGATAAATGGCCTCAGGGGGCCACATGCAGCCCGCGGGCTGTAGTTT